AACTAGACTGGGCGTCGTATACACTCGGTTTGGCGTCGTATTTCGCAGTCGAGCCAGTCGTTGACGTAATCCGCTTACGGACCCACATTCGTTGACAAAAGCCGCTTACGGAGCCACCTCAATGCCGTGACATGATTTGGTACTCCATACCGCCCAAATTCATCTACACAGAGAGAACATTAGGGCGATACAACGCAATGGGCGCTGCAACTTACACATACGACGGTGAACAACTTTCAACGTCACACTCCGCACCAAGACGTGGATGTCGTCGTCGCCAACATCTTCAGTGTCCAGGAACCCAAATGCAGGGTCGTTCACAGATGAGAGACGTATAGCTCCGTGGAGTATTATCGTGGCTCGGACACTAAACGGAATGCTCAATCGCATGAGCTGCTGGGCTTCAGGGCTCCCTGTCTTGAGCCACTTGCCGTTTCGCTTCATCAGATACACCTCCATGCAGTACGATGGGAGTGGAGAGTTTGTCTGGCGCGCGAGCATAATAATGATGTCAGCCACGGTCTTACTTTCCTCGACGTCAATGCGACAGATTTTCCCTTCGACAAGACACACCACCGTCTTCATTGCTCCTTGGCCGCTTCGAAAGTGAGGAAATCTTGACAGCCCAATCTACTTTTCCTTGCGACGATTGTAGTCAAAGGGAATGCATTGCCAACTGAATGAGCTTAAACTGCATATTCTGTTCCATCGCTGTCTTATAGTGTCACCAGTCTTAAGAGTGTCACCAGTCGTGGTCTGCGTGGATGTCGAAGTCCGTCATTAGGGCTATGAGGAAAAATCTCACAAACGTGGAGTGTCAAATTGAACATAAAGTGCCATTTTATGAGATACTACTTGATATATTGCCCACGACAACGACATTGTCCAATCGGATTGTCTTAAAAATAACTGACCAATCACAATACATGTTGATTTGTCCTAATCTTATGACGAAAAATTATTTAAGGAGGGTTTTAGCCATGGAATAGCCAAAAAAGATGAAAAGCATAATATATAAATGCCATAATCTAAAAAGATAACATCGAAATATGGCATCAAGGTTTTCAACGCACCAGGAACAGATTGATTGGACAAATCTATCCAATCACAGTGGCATATGCTTATTACTGCGTAGTACTAACTTTCACATAAATACCAAGCTGCTTGCTCTCCCGTACTAACTTTCATATAAACACCAAGCTGCTTGCTCTCCAGCGAAATTTGCCAGCGGTGGAGAACTGCCCGAGGTCCAAGCACAAGGCGCTAGGTCATATGAGTCGTAGGAACGTGTTGATTGACCCGAAGCACGATAGCTATGCCTAGCTATAGCTTTGAAGTCTCCGTCATGATGTTCTCGCGGCCTCTCCTCGTACATAATAGCAGTTCGAGCAGTGCCGTACCGTGAGCAAGACATGACACGGCTCGCTGTTACCATAGGTATCGTCATGGCTGCCGAAGCGTCTACAGCGGTATGGTGGCATGACCCCAAAGGTATCCTGCGGAAGTGGGATTAATTTCACTGTTCCTGGTGGTGCAGTTGACGAAAACACGCCCACTAATGGCGGCTCCGACTAACCTCGGCGTGGACCTGCAGCCCCAGGGGGTGAGTAGTATATCCAATACTTAGATCAAGTAACATGTAAGCGAATCATTTTACAGTAAACCTACTTGAGATGCCCAAATACCCAAAATACGACCAAAACAATGAAAACCACTTTTTCAAAGTACGACGGAAACGATTCAGATTCGCTCCGTTCGTTTTTGAAAGTTATATTGTCCTCTTACCAAAAATTTAGACTATTATACTGAATCGCCAAATCTATCAATCGATTCTTTTTACTGAATTTTGTATGTAAAAAGGTGGCATGTGGTGATTGGTCTCACACTAATTGAAGTCACATACTAATTCGATGTTGATGATGGTTTCAGCCCTTCTGCTGATTCTTGTGCATATTTGGTTGTGTCGATTCATTCTCCATGTCGCTCCAGTGTATAATAAACACAACAATAATATTCCTCAAAAGGATTATCTTTCCCCAAGTCGAAAAAACTAATCCCTATTTTCCCCTGCCGCATAAACTTGTCTTTCGTGACCGAAAACAATCTGTGTACAAGCTGTGTGTGTACTCTTTACGTTGTGGTACCCGATATCATGGTGATATCAGACAACAGTGGTAGTTTAAGGCCGCAAATTATCTCATCGGCTAAAAAGTGGACACTCCCATCAGCTTATCAATTATCACAGCATGCGCATTCTCATACGATGAGCCACGTATGATGTGAGCTCTGATAAAGCAATCCAGTGCTCACTAATTCGTTCACCCTTTTGTTGTCGCCATCACCGCCCTCAGAATCGGGGCGACTTGGTTGTCGATTTGATGTTGAGAGCTGGGGCGGCGGCGTAAGCAGGGTTGGGCACATTGCGCCGTTTGACTTAGGACTGTGACAGTTTGTGGCATTCAGAGGTCCAATTAAGTATCGACTGGGGTTAGCACAGTACACTGACGCCACCGTCGCCTCTCGCAATCGTTGCTCCGCCGCGTCGATGTTGCGCTTGGAGTTCAATAGAATGGTAATTTTATGCAAATTGTGTGATCGAACATCATTTTACTATGCTGTAGTTTTTCTCGGGTAGATTTATAGTAGTATTTGGATTTATTCAGATCCCTCTAAAACCTGCCGGTGGGAGTGTTAAGTCCGGGGTAGTCCTATCTAAGGTTCCGATCGCCGTACTGCCAGCGAAGTTGCGCTGCCTTCGCCTGGGATTCGAAGTGACACTTCAACAACATCCCCAAAGCCAGGGCGGATGGAAACACCAACAGCGAGCCTTTGTAGGCGCACGAAGACACGTCGTTGAAACCGGGGCACAAGCAGTTGCTTGAGCAAGTGGGCCCTGTTGGAGGACGACAAGCGTAAATTAACTCCACTACAAACGCAAGTGATTTCGTTCACCCAACCGCATCGTTTTGCCATTTCTACATTGTCAAACGAAAGTAAGCAAACAAAATAGTATCTCCAAAACAACTGAAGTTGCACTCACGCTCGTATCGAAGAACGACGTCCAAAGACGATGGGAAGGCCACAAGGACATGGATGTGATTGGCACCTGGGACGACGGGCATAAACACATCGTTAGGCGGGATGGGATCACGGGCACGTGGTGGAGTGGCACTTCTAAAGAAAGGCAGTATCGAATCTCTAACGCTGATGAAACGCTCAAGGATGCCACGGGGAGGTTCGTCATTGTTGCGATCAGCAATTTCGGCACCAGCGTCTAGATCGTGAACACCGCCATAACTGCCGCATGGGGGAAGCATAGCTGCGTCGACCACATGCTCACCTTCAGCGGCGGAGGGTAGTCGCTCCACATTGCTGGGTACAGGTGCAGCTACAACGCCTTGGGGGTCAGCACGGTTAGCAACGAGTGCAGGCGCGTCTCCGAAGACAGGGGATGGTGCCACACGAATGATTGCGGTGGGAGCCATGGGGAGTGATTGCATGATTGAGTTGACTCTGTCCGGTTGAACTTGCTTGGCGACGTGTAACGCATAGTGTGCCATGTCCAACCAGCGGCCTTCAGTATCCTTAGCCACATGGAGGTGTAGCTCGTGTGTTGGGCAGGCAAAGCCGAGATGACTCCTCACCTGCTCCATGAGGCGCCACACAGGTTGTTCGGTGGCGATTTCAACGTAAATGGGTTTCGTGCTACCCTGGAGCATACAGGTCAACGTAACCACCTTCGTTCGTGGCTTGGGATGTCGAAATGGTAAATGCACAAATCACAGAGCCACCAGCTAACATAATAAAGTGGAATATGTGTATTTATGAACTTGGTCACTTCAACATCCAATTCTAACTAATCAAAACTTGAAAAATTGCATTACTGTAGATGACTACAGTACTCAACAGCTTGTACAACCTTTAAAAGCAACGACCTCGCTACGCACGCGATACTCGTCATGATGAGAGCTGGATGCG